GTCAGGTATTATCGCAATAATTTGGTATGATGTCACGAATGTAGCATTGGCTCTCGGGTCTTCGTTCTCAAAAAACAAAAAAAAAACAAAAAAAAATATATACCTTAATGAAGATTGCTTAAGTATTTATTCATTTTGGTCCAAGTGGCCAATTTATCCAGAAATTTATCGGGAGCAAATAATCAATGATTTATCGACGAATAATTATTCTTTTTACCTTATTAGATGCAATACCAAGCTAGCATAAATATTTAATAATAACTTTTACGATACGTAAGCATGCAAAAGTATTGTGAGGCATTAGAATTGTAACTATTACTTTTTATATAAAAGCATATTTTGTTAAATTTGCTTAATTTTTTTTGTTTAGTTTGTTTGTTTGATCCTTTTTTTTTTTTTTTTTTTTTTTTTTTAACACATATAAAATCTTCCATATTCCATATTACAAATATAAAATTCCATATCCAACAATCCATGCAAAATTTCATATAAAACTATACGATAACGGTCTTAAGATATTTATTAAAAAATAATCGATAACGTGTATGTGAAGTTACTAACACAGCCAGTGAAGGAGCACAAACTTTCATGCTAATGATGCAAAAGTATATTGTTTCTTATATGGAATTGAAAAATCTTTTGTAAATGATAATTTATAAATATATATATATATATATATATATATATATATATAAGGAGAGAGTATTAAAATGAATAACACATAATGTGAACAAGAAGAGACATAATCTGCAGAATTGTAATATACATAATTTCTATTTTATTAAATAATTATTTTAAGAAGCTTGAAATTTAGCAAAGAAATTAACGTCTTTATTTTTATAAACATACAAGATATTAGTAATTTTGGTTTGATAATCTGAATTACGCTCTTACAGCCTTCGTTAGTATTGCTTAAATAATTTATATATATATATTTTTTCAATACATTGTTATATAAATGGATTAATAATGCATTAGCTTAATATTAATTATCAAAATTTTTTTTTTCTCTCGAAAATTCATTAATGTCGTTGCTCTGAATGCATAATAAAATTTGCGAATCTTGAGAATGGCGAGGAAATTTAATTAACTGTCTTACAATCGAGTATTATCAATGTTTAAAATAATGTTTAGCAATAAACGTCACATAAGGTAAGAATTATATAATTTAGACATCTGTGTTATCGCGGCATTATTTATGGCAGCGCATTATCATATTCCAATGATGTAAATCAACTTTATACTAAAGCTTAAAGCGCATCCTTATACTTTTATATTATACAGGCCGATCATTAGCTATTATGTACATGTATTAAAAATTAAGGATAAACTTTTGAAACATATAACATATAACATTATTCCAACCAATGATTGACAATTGAGGACGATAAGCTTATTTAACAAGTGCATATTCGATACACATTTAGAAAGTAATCTGTTATAAGTAAAATGGCTGAATATTAATAATAACTTATAGAAAATGTCGTTTTCGACGTTATTATTATTGACTCGTCAAATATGTAATCCTAATACATACAAATCACTCTTTTTTTCATTTCCCACTCCCGCTCCCCCTCCCCTCCCCCCATCTCCCCCCTCCCCCCCCCCTATCATTTCTACTATTTTTTTCTTTTCATATGTTTTTCATTTATTTTTATGAATTATGTTCTGAAAATCTTCACTCATCAGTCTTTATATCCGACTCGTTGTTTACAATGTTATGATGTAACACCAAGAAAACAACATTAATTACACGTAAAGATGATAATAATTCATTATTCCAATTTTAACAACACTTTCATTATTTCTTTTTGTTTATCAAGTTGGTTTCAGAAAATGAAATAGTAATGCAATTGTCTGACGTCGACATAATACGGCATATAAATAATATGTTGCATCAAAGAGTGGTACAATAGTAGAAAGACAATTTCAATTTCTATTTACTTTTGCTGGTAAATTTCATGCTTTCGTTCACTACAGGCGAACTACATAAACGTTCTGTCCAATATGTTTTTTTCTAATATGCGACATGACGTTGGACGTTTGCTTGCTTCGGAAATCACAGTGAGGACATTGAAATCTTGGTTCTTGGCCGCACTCGTATTTCAAATGTCGCGTCATGTTACCTTTAACGGTAAATGAGCGCGAACATTTTGGACAACTAAACAACCTATTATTATGTGTTTCCTGCTGCTGCTGCTGTTGTTGTTGTTGCTGCTGCTGCTGTTGTTGCTGCTGCTGCTGTTGCTGCGGCTGCGGCTGCGGCTGTTGCTGCGGCTGTTGCTGCTGATGCGGCTGTTGCTGTTGTTGCTGTTGCTGCATTACGACAACAGTTTTGAGAATATCGTCTGGAATATCGGTTATTTTCATTTCATCAGAGTTGCTAATTAGTGACTGAAGCTCAACGGGCATCTCTTTATTTGATGAAGCTTGAAGAGTAAAATTTGGATTCATCTGATGTCCAAAAAAATCTGCAAAAGGAAAGATTTAATTACATTAGTGGATGGAAATTTAGGGTGCAGTCGTGACAAAATAACTGTTGAGTATCTTAATATACATTTAATGATCGGATTGTCGAGAAAATTAGAATTTATGTATGAATGAGATTAGAAAGGATTGTCCTAAAATTTTTCAACTTAGATAATGATATTAAGTATTAATATTTAGTACTGATATTGCACGGTAATATTTTCAATGACTATGATATTCTAATTACAAAGTTTGAAATTGGATTATTGCAAGTACAATTTATTAAGAAAAATATTCAAAGATAATAAATAATAAGAATTTCAATAATATATATCTTTGGCGAATAAAATTCCGTCAAACTTAAAAACCAGCTTTTAAGTATGAAAGATGCAATAAGGTGTTTGATGATCCAGTCGACAGTCGTTTTTAATTAGTTAACCTGAAAAAGAAAAGTCCTTTAAATTAAAATCCTTTAATAAACATACACACGCACACGCGCGCACACGTAAATACATCGAAAACATATTCACATTTTCACTGATGTATATCTGATTTAAGAATGTAAATTAATTGGTTTTCATTAATCAAACAATTTTTATTTTATTGTATATAATTGAGATAAATTTGATAAGTACATTTAGTATACGAAGGACAAGGCAATTTTTATTTTTTATTTTCCATTAAATAATTATATCGTTATTCTTAATTATCGTTTATTGTAGCGTTGGTTGGATTATCACAATTTATCAACACTTTCAATAACTTTTCTTTTATTTACTTATTGATTTCTTATTGCTCGCTTTATATTTATTTACGCATACGATCGAGCTTTTTCTTTTTTTTTTTTAAACCATATCAATAAAAAATTTTGTTACATAAATATATATATATATATACTAAAAATACAGGAATTCGTTATAATGTAAAAAAGACAAAAGAAAAACAAAAAATACCATGACTTAAATATTCGATTAAAGCCATTTTTTCTCATATGCATTGTTTTGCGAAATATTTCTGTATCGTAGAAATATATTTTCACTAGAATAGTTACAAAATTAAATTAACAATGAATCATATGATCAAAAGAAAATTATAAAGTTTTTAATGAGTTGAACGAATTTTTATAAAGAATTGTATACTTACAACGAACAATATATAAATATAAATACATTTTACGAAAATTTGATTAATATTTACTTTTGTCTAATGCTAATTACTAATTATTAATGATAAATGAACAGAATAGCAATTGAAACAATACGTGAGGTTATGATATCCGATTATTAATATAATTCTTCATAATCTCTATTCGTCATAATCTCTAATTCGTAAAATAAACCTGAGAAAATAAATCTGATATAATTAAATATAATATTTATGCGTACTATTTTAGGATCGTCGATTTACTAATTCTAGGCACACGAACATCTGTACCATTTATGTATTAAACAATATTTGGGAGTAAAGTTTTTTTTTTTTTTTCGATTTATAATAATTTATTTTTGATTCATACATTGCATACATCATCATATCGAAACATATTTACGAAAATCATATATTATTGCCTTATAGTGGTGATAAAATTTTTGCTTAATAAAAGAAAAAGAATATTAGATATAGCGCCGATTTTTTTATTCGTTGGCGTCAATTCTCTACTTGGCTTGGCAACAATCATTCTCGATACTTGAATCATTTTGACAAGATATCCTCAAGTATAAGCAAAATCAACGTGTAATCGCACTTAAAATTATTTACGTATTATTGTCGCTATTAAATATAATATCGCAACTAAAATTATACACAGTCCAAAGCTCGAGATCTAACGAGAATACAATTATTACAAGTGTATGTTTAGATTGACAAGCGAAAACGTTTTTGTTAAAAATAAAAAAAAAAAAAAAAAAAAAAAAAAAAAAATTACATTATTCAAATGTTGACACAAGTGTGCCGATGATAACCACTATACTATCGAGGATCTTTTAGTCGAGATCGATCGTCGTGAAAACTTAGCCCGATATCTCATATTCATCTCAACATTAATCATTTCAGCGAGTTTTGAAAAAGAAATAAAGAAAAAGAAAAAAAAAGAAAGAAAAGTCTCAGCGTCAAGTTTCGCAATGTATTGTTTAATATTGCTAATAAGCGCTATAATGCATTGCGTCGAGTAAATTAACAATTGATTTGGATTAAGCAGAATTGCAAATGCGAGGGAATAGTGCCCTCTTGCTAAAGCATTGAGTAACTTCGCTATCCCATCTGCTCGTTCATGAAAATAAAAATAAAAACTTCTACGGAAATACGAATGTGCTAAAAGAGCGAGATTATTGGCAGTAAGAAGACACTCGTGGCACAATCAACGTTTCAAGTCGGAATGTTCCAACGCCAGGATGGTAATAGCCGAATGACACCGACGGCACAATACCTTGCACCCTCTACTCCTGGAATATCGAGTAACAGAGAACTCGGGAGCAGCAGCGAAAAAAAAAGTCCGCTGCCCTACGAACGGACAATACTCTTGGAAGTGGAGCGATTTTTGAAAATCCCGTGGCAATAGAAGGAATAAAAGGTAAGGCTTATCGGGTGATAAGCGCAACCGCGCGATACCACTCAATCGGACCTCTGCTGGATATCGACCGCGTACACGGCACTTTGCGCGTGTGTACTCTTGATGTGGCAGTAGATGTGGGAACGATGCTTGGCAATGTAGTTGCAATACGGGCACTGGAAACGCGGTGGTTTGCCGCATTCGTAAGTCAAGTGCCGGTGTAGGCCACTGTACCACTTGTAGGTCTTGCCGCAGTTCTGGCAAACGTAGGATTTTCTGCCGCGTTTGTGGGTGCCGTGGACCGCGCGAGGATGCTGGTGGAGGTGGGAGGGTTGTCTGCCGCAGGACTGGCAGCCTGGAAACGAAAATTTGCCAAGGTTCGGTCATTGGGTGGGCCTTTTGTTGCGGGACACTTTTGGGAGGGCAAATCTACAAATTAAAGTGCACTGTTAATTAAAGCTTACTGTTCGGTCGAGATATTAGTTGATGGATGCACACGGTGCATAAAAGGCATTCGCGGGAGACTTGCTCCACTACTTTTCTCTGGCCCAGCCCCATCTTACCGGGCAACTTATCGAATGGAAAGATATCACAGGAGACGATCCAAGTGCTGTCGCGTGGTCATAAAAGTAGTAAAGCAAGATATTCAAACATAACGAACGTTTATATATATATATATATATATATATATATATATATGATGCAATGAGTGGACATTGTTAGTGAGGAATTTATAAATATTTCGAGACAATTCTCATTCGAGTATATAACTCGCCGATTATTCTACAATTCATCAATATTTAAATTCACAACGATTGAGTTACCATTTACATTCATAGGCTACGGTACTTTCTTTTATTTATTAATACATGAAATTAAAATATTACTTACTGTTAATATGGGAAACTTTCTAACTAATATTATTATTAATATTTAATGTACTGTTTTTGTTTAAAATGTATTACAAATTTATTTAAGATGATTGCAGGGAATTGACAATGTTAATCACACAATAATGTAAAAACTTTAATTATTCCAGTCTGAAAATCGAACGAGTCTGTAGATAAAAATATGAAATATGAAAGTATGTCGTTGGTCGTAAGAGAGCATTAATATAATATTATGTAATTAGGTCACTTGTTTATAATTAGCTCATTTATTGTCAGCCAATTATATTGTACATACGAATATGTAATGGTTATTTAACATAATTATTATACGAATGCCAATTTTAATCCTCGCAAAATTACTTGTACATGATTTATTATATAATAATTATATAATAATCGATTTATTTTCCCTACCAATGTTATACTAAAATTTCTCATAATTAAAATTTACACTCTATATATATATATATATATATATATATATATATATTGCAATTATTTTCATTAGTTTCAATTTAAATCAAGGCATTTTATAAAATTATGATTGCCTCTATTATTTTTTTATGCTAAATTTACACTCTGCATCTTACGCAAATTACATTATATTTTATATACTATACTAGGATATTATTTAGTACAAATTTTATAAAATGGCATGAATGAAATACATTGTAAAGCGTATATTAAAAAGACAATTTATTTATTTTTGTTTTTAATATTTCTTGTATTTCCTTTATATTCAAAATTATTAAATAAACATCAAATAAATATATATATATATATATATATGTATATATATATATATATATATATATATATATATATATATATACATATATACAAGAGTCTTAAATATGTACACTTTGAATATTATTCTAGCACACAGACACACAAGGCATATCACCATGGCAAACACTCATTATTATAATACTAATTATTTCAGCTCAATGCATAACACTTGTTATATTAACATGTATATATTTACATATTATTACAATGTATTAAAAGAGAACAAACGAGATAAAAAACCTAAAATTTTAAAACCACTTAGGGGAAAAAAGTAAAATACATCTATATTAATACTAACATTTGAAGATTTTATTCATTCTATTTAATTCGATTATTAATTCGAATTAATTCATATTCTTTCTTTCTTTTTTCTTTTTTCTTTTTCTTTTTTTCTTTTTTGTTTTAATAAAAATATCGTTATTTATAGTACGAAATGTGTTTGTGCGGTCACATTAAAAGCATAATTTCACGGCTGATGGGACGCGGTCGTAAGTGAAATTATTAATTTAAAATTCAAGCACAATAAGCTTTGTATAAAACAGAGAAATATTATTCCTAAGTATGACTAAATAGACAATAGTTCACCAGACTTTGTATCTTGTTGTAACTTTTGTTTTATATTCATTATCCAACAGTTATTGTTGTCAAAAAAAAAAAAAAAAAAAAAAAAAAAAAAAAAAAAAAAAAAAAAAAAAAAAAAAAAAAAAAAATATGGGGGAGTAAAAGAATGATGGAAGTAGCAATTGAATGAATACTATACTACAACAATCACATTCAATTTCACATTCAATCAGGAACTTGGAGGGTCTGTGGAGCACCTTAAGACGATTAAGGGAGCGTAAAAAAAAAACAACAAAAATTGGTAAAATTCGGTATTCGGTGCATTCACGTGGATGGCATTAAAAACTCAAAAGAGTTTGTTAATATGAACGCCCATGCGTGGATGCCACCTTCTTACGTGTCGATAAATGTTCGACGATTGATTGCCCTTCATGTGACAATAGGGGCAACCGTAGCGCGGCGGCGGACCGCATTTGTGTTTGTAGAGATCGGCGATTCGCCGAAAGCCGGCATTACAAACGTTGCATATGTAGTTCGTAACGTCGTCGGCGTCATTAGTGCTCCAGATATCTGAAAACATTGACATTGTTATATTAGTGAAATGATATTGCGTGAGCGAGAAAGTCGAACGGGACGGAAAAGAAATATTTCGCTCGAGTGAATATTATTTGCTTCTCTTTTATCTCTTCAAATACATTCATTGTGATGTTGGAAGTTATATTGTGTTTATCATGCTTGGCGGGGTGGCTTTAAACTAACAACTTTCCAACACAATGAACATCCAGTATAATGAAATATTATCCCAATAAACTAACTAGATGTATTGTAAAATTTGTAACTCAAGTAAGACTGCTTTCAAACTTATGTATTGCGCATGATTTCTGCGATAGATAAATCAATAAACCAAATGATCGCCATTTCTAGTGAGTGTGTGTGTGTGTGTGTGTGTGTGTGTGTGTGTGTGTGTGAGGGGGGCGGGGAGACACGCAAGAAACCTATTAAGCATTAAATATCAAATGAGTAATATATTTTTTGTGATGAGATTATTCGTTTTTTTTTTTTTTTTAATATATTCGCGTTTTTTTATTTCTAATCACTTAAATGTCGATAGTCTATCGAATTATACATAATTTCATTAAATATGTAAGTAAGTAACTTTATAAATACATTTACATGAATTTAAAAATCAATTGAGTTTCACATTCTTTTGAAGGAATTTTTATTTTTTATATTTGTTATTTGTTTTTCATTTTATCATATTTCGTAAAGAGCAAGTATATTTTATTGTATACAAATATTTATATAATAATATAGCATCATACAATACTTATACATAGATATTTATAATAATACGTGCAGTTATATTATTTAAAAATTGAAGATAACGTTGAAGATGAAAATTAAATTGCTTACCGGATATTGATTTACATTGTACATTGACTTTTGAGGCAAAAGTTTGTGTACATCAAGACTTTTCACATTAAACGGCCTATTTATTTGTAGTATAATTCATAATATAATAAAATATATATTCGACATTTTTTTTATATCATTCCACTTTATTTCATCGGATAATAAACTTATGTGTATATATATTTAACCGCACGCATCCGTTCCATCCATCCATCCATCCATCCATCCATCCATCCATCCATCCATCCATCCATCCATCCATCCATGCATATACACATACATATGCATATATGCACAATATCATTATGAAGATAGAATTTCAGGCACTTCTTAAGAAATTAGTCGATCCTATTAAATTAGTTATAGCAGGTTTGCAATACAATAACAATTTGTTTAATCATTTGAGTTTTTGTCTTGTCTTTTTGTCTTTTCTAAAAGAATACTAATCTAAAATACATTGCTTTTCTTTTCTTGTCTTTTCTTTTCTTTAATAATAACCTATACTTACTTAAGTGTAATAAGCACCGTTAATAAATATCGATATTATATTTGGAAATAAAGATAATTCATACTTTCTTCAAGTATTAACTCGTAGAAAATTGTATACTATAACCGTGGAGATATTTGTAAGTGTCAAACTTTCAAATAAGATTTTCCTTATTTACATAAAAATAAGTACAAAAATAAACGTAATTATTATCTAATGTAAGAGCATTAAATAATTTAATGATAAATTAAGAATATTTAGAAATATAGGTAATGACTTACTTTCAAGTATTTACTAGTAGAAAATTAAGTAATTGTTTGGTATTATATGAGCACGTTTAAAAATAATAATTTAAGTGATGGTTATAAAGTACTTGAGTGTTTGTTATGCTTGACAGGTAAAACTTATAAACAATCTTGTATGTCATCGCAATTATTATTTATAATTCATGATTTTTAAACTTGCATTTAATAACTTTGTATAACGCCGCATTAAATATAGATAAAATACCATTGTATTTTTTAAGTAAATTTTCGTTTTCAAGAACACATTAATTCAAATAATTGATGCAATTTGTACTTCCCTCTTACAATACATTTATAATCTTATTTATTTATTTTGTTTTTTTTTTTTGTTTTTTTTTTTTTTTTTTTGTTTTTTGTTTTTAAATGAAACATAAATTGAAAAACAAACTATATATATAGAAGAAAGAAAATTAATGAAAATTGAAGAAATATAAATTTCTAAATTTTAAATGATTAATTCGATGAAATTTAATCCAACCCAACACAATTTTTTCCTAAATTCTAAAAAAAAAAAAAAATCAACTCAAAGTCTGGGTAAAAAAATAAGAATGAAAAATTAATCCCAATGTCAAAATTTATATTTTTATACTAAAACTTATTCTATTTTTGCAGCTTATTTTGAAATTTATGAATAAGCCGTAAATACGATATACGTGTACTTTAATCGATATTTATTAATCCATGAATGTATGGTGATTTTTATAGTTGCTTAGGCACTTTCAACGAATTACATATTACATCAATTTAACAAACATTCAATGATATATTTATATATTTACGAATAGTTGCCCTCTAAGTTAAAAGCACCTAAAATCGTAATGTGGTCTTGCGGTAATGACAAGATAGACAAATCCCTGTGTGTACTAGAGTGGTTGAGTGTGTGTACGATGATGATAGAAGAGTATTAAGTTAAATGAAATTAGAAGTCGGGCAAATGAGTGTTATAATTACTTTTGCAATAAATCGTATTTAGGCGTCCTGCGTCACCGAGGTGACGAAATGAAATAGTCGGTCGATCAGCCAGCGCAAGGCAATTTGTTAAAATAAGAAAAGCAGAGTTTAAATCAGATACGAATGTTGGATGGGAACTAGAGCTTGAAAAAATCGATCGAGAAGCCCCGAAGAAGTAGTAGAGAAGATAGTGATAGTGATAGTGATAGTGATAGTGATAGTGGTAGTGGTAGTGGTAAAAGTCGAGGAAAAAGTCAATTCGACGACTAGACGAGCGGAATGTCGAAGATCTTCTTGTGCATTCTGCGCACGTGTTTGTGCATGTTGGAGGTGTACTTGGAGAAGTAGGTGCAGTAGTTGCAGCGGTACCGGGTGCCCAGGCCGTCGGGCTCGTGCTCGCGGGTGAAGTCATGGGAGCGCAGGTGTCGGGCCAGCGAGTGCGTCGTGTCGAAGAGCCGCATGCAGACGTTGCAGTTGAACCACTGGCCGCTGATCTGCGACTGCTCGACCTCTAGCAGGCCTGCAAAAAGACAATAGGTGGATTCATCGTGGAGATAAATTGTCGTTTTGGGAGGGTGGACGGACGGACGGACGGACGGATGGACGAACGGACGGACAGACGGGCGGACAGACGGACGGATAAGTGGTTGCTGCACCGATGGGACACGCTTTTATTTTATTTTTTTTTTTTTAGTTTTTTTTTTGTAAGGCGAAACGTTGGGCTTTTCTTTTTTTGCTATTAACGGGCCCGTTGATCCTTATGTAATCCCGGTCGACGTAGCGGGGGACACGACCTCGTGAAGTCAGCTATCGATCTTTAATATTGAGACTGACTTTTTAGAGCTCCGGTTTAACGGAGCGCGACGGGGAGATCGGAGATTGGGAGCAATTTTTTACGAGAGAATGTGGTGAACGGGAGTATAGCCAATGATGTTGTAGTGCGTAGTTGTGCCGTTATTGCACAGCCTCGATCAGTGGGATGATGAAAAGTTCAGACGGAAAACGTGATTTTCTCTGCGCTCTATGAAACTTCGTTATTTATTATGTCTCGAGATTATATCGAATAACGATATCTCGGGATGCAATATGGTTTTAAAGCCCAGTATTTCGTAATCGATTTCATTCTATGCTTCCTTGTTTCATTACACGATTCATAAAGGTCTGAGGGAACTTATTGAATTACAATAGCAGGACGAAATATCATATGGAAAAAAAAGAAGCATTTTTATCTTCAATAAGAAATATGCAAACTGCTTGAGAGAATCTCGTTTATTTTCTTTTTTGCTTGCTTAATAGAAAAAATACTTTCGTGATGATATGGAATGTGTTCTTAAGCTGAATTAATTATGTCAGTCTTCCGATAGAAAAATATTAATATTTATATTTATATTTCAATAATATAACGTTATTCTAAACAAGACCATATTCATATGTACATCGAAAATGTTTAATGAAAAATGATAAATAATATTACCATGAATAATAATATTTATAAATTATAAGCTTATATTTTTAATATTTCACACAGGTATTATAATAAAAAAATATTTTTCATTGGGTGATAAGATTATACAACTGTATTGTGAATGGTACAAACATGTTGATTTATAATAAATAATAAATACTTTCAACGCCTAATGCTTATAAACAAATTTCGGACATTGATGTTGGTAGTGTTTTCACAATAATGATTTATAATTACCGATGAAAAATATGAATTTTAACAGGTAACATTAAAATGTTTATTGAAATAATTTTTTTGTAACTTAACATAATGTTCAATTATAGCGACTAGAGTTGGCAATTGAAATTATGAAATTACAATTCTATTTAGTAAATTGAGCTCTAATGAGCGATAAATCATTTAGTTTTTATCATTTGATATGACACTTAAATGAAAATTAACATAATAATTAAAAAATAATGACATATAAAAAAATAACATATTTCACTTCTATTATTTCCTGATTTGAGCGATAAAAGCTTTCATCAAATTCATCTTCACATCTGCTTCTTAATAATAAATAATGAATAAAAAAAATTGAAAAATAAATTCATTTGCATATACAAATGTAAATAAATGCTTAAAGTTTAAGCTGACGGTTTTTATATTTACTTAGGGCAGTACAATTAAACATTAAAATTCAATGCAACTAGCAACGTACGTTTACAAATTGTAAAAGCAACCGTTTCCCTCATATTCTACATACACATACTTACCGAATGTAACGATAAAAATTCGATTTTATCGCTAAAAATCACTTTAAATGCACTTGAATAGCAGAAGGTGAGTATACTAAGGACAGGCAGTAGACAAATTATAAATTAAGTCTTGCATTTCCGTAGTCGAGCATTAATTTATAGAATTTACCTCTTAGACTTTTATACTGCGCATAATTGAATTTACCCGATTGCCGATGAAAATAGAACTCTGAAAATAAATAAAGTAGGTAAATTAATTATGAGTAGAATGATAAAAAGGGCAATTCAATCAGAAAATACACACACTATTTTATAAATACAAATGACAAATAATGCCGAGTGTCTGAAAACAATTGATTATCATAGCTTATTCAGCAAAAAAAAAAAAAAAAAAAAAAAAAAAAAAAAAAAATAAAAAAAAATTAACAATACAATTAAAATGATTTATTTATGAATAACTTATATACAAAATTAATTCACTTTTTTTATCGTGAAAAAAATTTGCGTGTTATGAAGAATCCTAAAAATTTTAAATAACA